TACGAGACACTACTATAGCTACTCCAGGAATTAACGTCTGCCAAATCCAGCACACTGAAGAATCCTTGGACTGACCATCATCAAAATGATTACTTGCCAGTGAGTACACTTGCCATTTGGCCGAGTATATCTACCACATACCTCGTGGAGTCATAAAGCAACCCATTTTTAGGCTCCTTCTTTCCAGACTACTGAATGAAAAAGTTACTATTCAAGGAAGTAAACACCGAACATTTTTATTCCTTTTGCATTGGCAACATGTCAGTGTAGACGTCTTTTAATTCGTCATAATAACGGAACTGAACACTTTTTCTTCAAACTTGTTAGCAGTTCCCTTCTATTGGCTCGAATAGGTTCTGCTGTACTCGTGTTTTTCTCGGAGAGCATTACTCCCAATGTTGCTGATGCTAAGAAGCTGTCACTTCTGACATTGTAGCCTTTTCCAAAGAAGGCTCTTTACCACGCTCTCTGGAACACTTCCTCCACATGGAAATCCACTAACAAAGCTATTTTCGGTCCACTTATACTAAAATCGGAGACTTGATACCAGACTTGTCAGGTTTCTTGGCCATGCATTGAAGAAAATGACAGCGGGTTTTGTTGGGAAACAAAGTCTCGTCGACGGTGAGGTTCTGCACTGACGCATAACACGGCTGAGCGTTGGGAATAAATGCATTTCATGATTCAGAAATCAAAGCAAACTTGTCGGCCTGCAGTCTTTCACCTCTGGTAGTTCGCTTATCAAAACGAAGAAACCTCGTTATTCCCTAGAGTCTGTTAATGCTAATTATTTCCCCGAAAAGTGGCACTCCGTATTTATCGCACCTCAACATATTTAGTGGCATATTCTACAAGCTTATAAAGCGGCTGATATAAAGTAGCCCAAAGCACGCAACTCAGGAAGACTTATGTTCCACTGACAACTGACATCTGAAACCTCTGGCCTCAACTTCAGTACTGGCTTGAATGTTTCAGCATCTTGGATCTAATTATGATGTCAAAAGCACTCGAGAGCTCACCCTATTCTACACATTTCTTAACTAGGCAATTGGTCCTGGTCTTGCGTTGAAAACATTCTGTGCTGCAGTGCTGCCAACTGTAATCGTTTGCAACTGCAGTTGGGTCCACGATCCGTGAACTTCACTGGAAGATGCAGAAACAGCTGACACCACTTAATGGCTTTCGCCGTCATCACTGTACTCATGAGGAGTGCCAGTGTCAGAACTTCTATTATCAGAGATGTTGTCATCTGGGGATTCCTAGACAGTGAAATTTTCATGAAAATCATATACGCACGCTTCTCCAGTCTCGTTATAAACGACAGTCGTAAGTTTTTGTGAGACCTCAAAAACGGTTCTTCTAGGAGGCGCCAAAATAAGAAAACAAATACAGTATTAGAGGAATGCAGTTATTGTGACTGTTTACGGGCTTTTCAGGTAGAAAGAAGGCAACTCACCTTTTCCTCGAGAAATATAATAGATAAAAAATTTAAACTTCACAGTTAAAAAATGAATAAAAAAATTAAAAGTCACGAAATTGCTTTAAAATATCGTTACGAATGTAGAAACGACGCAAATATAACCACGCTGAGCGGTCAAAATCACCACTACGGGCGTTCTAGTGTTAAACCATGTTTATTTCATACACGCGCAGAGCATATGACGCTGAATCAAAACCAAGAGTGAAGTTCGGTTCCTTTTAGAAGGTAATTGGGCAGACGGATTCACCACAGTCTAAGGCAAAGCCCAGTTCAGATTTTATTTCAAGTGTGATTATGTAGGATGCCGACAGTCACCAACAGATTGCACAAATATATGAAATCCTATTTTACTAAAAACCTGTTCTTTCTTACTGCGCTGCTATTAACAGTTAACCTAATGAGACGAGCACAGCTCACTGAATTCAGCTTGCATTCTATCACATTTAACATTTTGGTTTTGAGTCATAAGCTAAGCAGTAGCCTGTCAACAAAGCTGTCAGTGTTATTGGCTAGGAGTACTTGGCTATAATATCCGCTTCGGTGCAGTTACAGCAACTTCACCGAGGGCTCGTGTTTTGATCTTTAATTCGGTGATTACGCATCCACTTGAGTGTCTAACGATTTACTGTTCACAGATACGGTGGCATGTACACCAGTGGATGCATTAAAACCAAGGACAGTCGAAGATTCACAGCGGTCGTTCGCTAAGCAAGGCGTCACCATGACTACAGATGAAACCTTCGCACACAATGGAATCACACTATCAGAACAAGCCAATGCAACAAAAGCTATTTTAGAATGGTTAATCGCAAAGGAACTGCAGCTATCGCGTAATGCTTTTTGGAATCAAAACATTTTGCAATGGCCGAATGACACCAGTTCATTGGGTGAGCGACTGAGCTTATGTATGAACAACGAACTAGCAAACCTGCTTGGTTCTTTTGGCCAGTGGATGTATTGTATGAATCCCTCCACATGGTTCTTCAACTCAATTGAGGCCGCTCATCCACGTACGCACGACACAAAAACCGAGAACTGTTCTACTAGAGCTGTCGACCAACCAAGCAGTTGTAGAAGCCGGGATTCTCCTCAGATGGGCCCATGCGATATGACCATGCAGAAGATATGTGCTGCGCGAACGCACGAGTCTGAAACGATGGGTCATGAATTTCCAAATCACTTGTTAAACTGCTTACCCAAACTGGTTAATACCTCCAGTTCCGAAGATTCTCGAGTATGGCACCATGACATCAAAGCTGATGCTAAGATGAAAACAGGGATAAGATTTTCTTCCAAGCTTTTGAAAGCACCTAATCGAAAACATATGGATGGCACCCAATATGTTGGCAAAAGGCGAAATTTCGGATTCCGTAACACCGGTGAGTTTGTCATCGTGCATTAGATAGAGCTGAATAATTGATTGAGAATGATGTATGTTTCTTTATAAAACCAGATGAGTTTAACTTGATATGATCCAGTAGCTATCCATCTTATTGATAACAACTAGTTCAAGATGAGCTAAACGGCTGATCCAGCCGATATAAAACTAGTCGATTTGTCATTAGGTTTGATGAAACGTACATGTCCATAGTTAAATCCAAAAGGTTTCCTTTTTAACTTGCTATAATGGAACACTGAAGACAAATGCAAACTTCGTCTTGTCTTGGGAAAATCACAGTGGATCTATATTAAATCTTGCTGAAAACACTTGTTCGCACCGAAGGCATAAGTAAGAAATCATGACAAGAAATTTGCTCGAGGAATGTGAGAAAAGTAGTGGGAAGTAGTTCGCGGAAAACTGTAATGTCCTCTAATCGCATAATATCACCAAAACAAAATGACCAGGCAGGAGGACAAAGGCGAGAAGCCGCAGTCATTAGAGTCTGATGTCAAATCCAGACTAAATTTTCATTAAGCAGTTTTTCAGAAATATGGACTCTTTATGTGGTAGCAAAGCATGCCTTAGTGCAACCTATCAGCGAAAGTGGTTAGTTGCTTAATATTAGTTAGAAACGTACAAAGCCACATACAAATCGCACCAGCACATAGACCCACGAGTTACGGAGAAAAACAAGAAATCATGCTGTCTGTTTGTTGAAGCTCGAGCTAAGTTGGACTGATGAACGCCACATAGACTCCGCATAGGTCAAGCACAGCAGTCGAAGATTCACAGTCCATAAGAGACAATATAAAGCATTATACGTGATTTTGATGCAGCTATGTATTCATGATTGTCCCTGTCCCAATAACAGCTTAGACATCTTTTCAGCCCACGAACTTCAGCGTTCAGGACGTTTGAAATCCGTTGGGTGTTTTTCCCGACACATCCCCGCCACGTTGACTTGTGTTAACCTGGTCTGTTCAAATGTTGGAGAAGAGTGGTTAAAAGATAGATTTGGATTAATATGAGGGAGATTCACCACAAACCCATTGGATCAGCCATTCACCGAACATCCGGAAGAGTAATAAACGACTATTTCCTCTTGTCGGGCATAAACAGTAGCGGGCATTCCAACTGCTCTGTGAGGGGCTACCATCCGTGGCTCTCGAGGTACAAATCAGTGCTTAAGTCGAATCTCATTACCAACTTCCCCAAAACCCCTTGTGACTCCTTTCTCAGACTCTTGAGCTCCAAAGATAGCTTACAATGCCATAGGTTGATAGCGGCTCAGTAGGGGAAGTTGTGTTTTGGCGCCAACGCTATCTCCTGCGTGTTGGATAACGCACATGGCAGTGGAGGATAAGATGCGCTGTTTTCAGATACTGTCAGTGAAATATGCTAACCAATCACTTTCTAGCTGCCAGCACTTCACCACGACCATGAGATTTTCCCGTCATGTAAAAAGTGAACTTAAGACGCATGCGGCATTTTTTGGCTGTCAGCTCTCACACAGCTTCACCGAGCTAGTTTGGCGCAGATAGATGTTTCGTAAATTCCCAGATAGCTTTTCAACACCTCGAGCTTATATAATATGGTGCACTCGGTTATGAATGTAGTGAGCTGAGTAGTCAAGCTGATATGGCCGCGTTCTGGAGAAACGTACCCAGTAATACGACTAGTTTCGCAAGCCGCCCCTAATCGAGGTGGCTTATACGCTGCTAAGGCGAACGCTGACTTTTAGAGAGAACTAGGGGATTTATAGACGTGACTCTGGAAGCCCATCCTGTCCTCGGCACCTTCATGACCTGGATGCCAATAGAGGAGGAGCTGCGCTATATCGTACTTAGGGATCAGGCATGGCGGTAACATCATGGGTTCATATCCAACGGATGCGCGCTACTGACAAGGACAACTGGGACGAAACAGCCGTCTAACGCTTTTCTGGATGTGTAATGGCTATGCAACAGTTTGGTTGCGACGCAACCTCGCAAAATACACTGTATCTCGTTAGTACTCTTTAACTGACCAACTTTCTTCATTGGGACATCATGAAACTTGGACAATCTTGACTGGATTCCTCTTATTGTTACTCGTCCAGCCACCGTCCAACTCCTGGCGTCGAATGGCTTTCTCTCAAAAGCATTGTTCGCTCTTTTACTCTGAAACGCTTCGCCGTAGATAAAGTGTGAAAGGGCATGTAACAGCTTTAAATTCACCGGTAAGGCACTCTGAACAAATTGTCCACAGTTTTAGTCCGGTGAAAAATGAACGTTCACCAAAATTGTCGAAAGTTATTTATTGGTGGCGACAAAGGTTTTGTACAACTCGGCCACACTAGTCAATCTATAACAACGGGATGACTGCTGTAGACAGAAGCCTAGCAAGGAAGCATATTCCTGCGTTTGAATTCAGCTTCTGGCCCGATTACTAAGCACATGGCTCTTCCATGAGTACCGTCAGCATAGTGCGCCTGTTTGAGTATTGGATCAACTATAGTAGTAAGTAACTGGACAATCAGTTAAAATATTCTTGTTCTAGCGAGTGCTCTGATACATGAGTTTGACATTAGTCAGGAGAAATAACACTTATGAACCGTTGGGATATGGTTGTGAGACCACCTGTTGAACAAGATCCTTTACCATCGCATTTGTTTTCTACAGGAACCAGAGTAGAACACCACAAATGAGGTAGCTTACATCTGACAAAGGCCACAGCATTTATTCTAACAGATTGAAAATAACTATGCCCAGTGAAGTCTGTGCACCACCTCATATTTCACTTAGTATACTCAGCCCACGCGCGACCGGTGGTGGTCGCGCGGCAGCGAAGCGCCGTTACGGCGTACAGCTGACACATTATTTTTATTTTTATTTTAGTTTACAATGTTCGATGACATACCATATCATCGATATCACCGAGACGGCTGCTCTTTTCATCCGTTCTTACCCACAACGTGGACACGGCAATAAGCGCTAATGCTACTTGGCGTATCGCGTTATCAACCGAGACCGGTTGTGGTGTTACAAACACTACAGATACGAAATTTATCCTAACTTAGTTCCCGTGTCACTGGAACAAGAGCTGCTATGGAGTCAGTCAACCGGGTTATAAACTAAAAGGAGTAGTGAATCGATCATGGTTTCATATAAAGCACGATTAGAGTTAACTGGTACGTAAAAGCGACGACAGAACTGGTATTTCCGAGCACTGGTTGAAGTAAGCTACTTCGGATGAGGTTCAAAGTAATATATACTTTCAACGGAAGCATCCCAGTAGAGCAATGAATGCATGTGGGACGATATGAACCGGAGCTGTTAATACCCATCCACTTCTGTATTTCTTAGCAAATCCCTCCTGCTGCACAACATAGCCCCTGTTGGGACATTCTAATTCTTGCTCCATGGAATGGTTAACTCCTCTCGAAAGGATTGCTACATTTCAGTACTTGTCATAATGCACAAAATTGCACAGTCGGAAAGTAACTGACGGAGAATCGGTAGTTCTCCTAATGCAACCTTCAAAGGCGTTGTTTAACTTACGCAAACTGCGAATTGTTAAAAAGGCAGAGTTCAGTCAGTTTAAGTATGATATACATATAACAGAACTCGATGAACCCTCGAAATTATTTATCCACCAACGACCTATCAACCAACCAACAGTCGCGTTTAGATGTCCTATGGTAGCGAATGAAAGGAACATTCTCAAGCCTACTTTAATGGAATATAGAAAATAAGTCAAGCACTCAGTTGGACTGCACCTCGTATTGTCGAAGAACTTACTGTTTATTTCTTTGTTTATTGTTTTTAAACCAAGAGTTTGATTCATGCTATATGCTGTTTTGTCCATACACAAATTCGCCACCTGTCCAAGCCTCAGATATTTCCTGCTCATAGTCGATAATAAGAGCAGTCAGATTAAGTAATTCAAAAGGAAAAGCACATTCACTTACATCCAGTACGCCATTAAAGGGGTTAGCGACAGAGGCACATGAATAATGCAAATTGACCGATCGATGAAAGGATAGTCATTCAATGATTGGAGAGTGAAGGGCATTAAACTTGTGCTTCGTTGTTATTGGTCACGCGGTCAAGTGGGTGAGTCGCTGGATGGGCAGTTGTGGGCTTGAACGAACTAAGTCAAAGTCA